TTCTTAACTCAGATTTAACCTTCTTACTCCTGTGTGCTGAAATCAGCTTGTATCACTGGAAGAAGCACACCATCCACTTTGTTAACCAAGCCATTACTGAAAGCAGTGCCAACTGCTGTGTGTCCTTGTTCCCATCGCAGCAGAGGACGTTCTGCATGGTGTTGATGCTCTCTGACACGTCTGGCTGCGTGCTCCACATCAGGTCATTCAGCCAAATGTTGATCCCGTTTTCTTCCTGAATTGCCTCCAGGACAGAGGGTAAGGAGGAACAAGGTGAATGAATGCTTCTTCCAGGAAGTGTAAAGCCATACTTCTGCAAATGAGCCTACTGACTTTATTTACCAGGCGTGGGATTGCTGCATGAGTGTCAGTGTGCTGCCTTCTGAAGCCACCTCATTCCCTACGTTGGCAATATGGGGGGAGATGAGGAGCAAAGGGCACAAGGATACTCTGATGATACTCTGATTAATTGTTTATAGTTAGGCTTATCAATTCTACCATCATTCTACTGTTACCAAACAGGCTGCCCAGGGAGGTGGTAGAATCACTGTCCCCACAGGCATTCAAGAACCTTGGGAATGTGATATTGTAGGGACATGGCTTGGTGGGCAATGTTGGTGGTAGTTGGATGGTTGGATTGGATGATCTTAGAGGTCTTTTCCAACCTTAATGTTTTTATGATCATACCTTGTGTTTTTAAGTCATGACTGCAGAGAGTGGGACAGCACCCAGTGCCTTTCAGATGCTTCTACAGGCAAAGCTGTAGGATACTGGATTGGAAATGAGGACAGGCAAGGAAAAATGGCTAAAGCATAAAGGGGTGAAACTCAGTGCATGTGGATGGACTGAAAAATCCCGGTGGACCCCATGCTCAGAGTTGGAGTCTCATGGGAATGGCTGCACATACTGAACCCAGGTTAAATAAAGCATCATCAGATGCTCTGCAGAGCACAGCACGCTGCTCAGCTGAGCACAAATAGTTTGGGTGGAATCTGCAAGACTTTTTTTCTTTCTTTATATCTCTTTCCATCATTATAGACAACAGCTGATTTTCAAAGGGCCAGTGCTTGAGCACTGATTCCTTTGGATGCTGTGGTCTTTTTCAGTGTTCTGTGTTTGCCTAATTCCCACTGCTTCCACTGAATGAACACAGTTTTTCAGACTTACAAGTGAAGGGAATAGAGCACCATTAAATACTTGGGGAAAATTCTGTATTTCAGAATAGTCTAAAGTCTAGACATCATCTAAAGGATGTTATCACAGTGATACACCATCGTTTTCTGAACGGACTTCAGTATGTTGGCTCAGGATACCTCTGGTGCTGATCTCCCATCAGGTGTGAAGAGAAGAACTGTGGGCTCCTTTGGGGCATGGGCTCACACAACCTCATCTCTATGTGCTGATATGTTGGGCTTCATAGGGAGGTTTGGTTACCCAGATGTGCCTGGAAGTCCCTCACCTACATCTGAGTAATGGTCTGAAATTCCCTTACAGGAGAGAAATCAGATTCATCACTTCGTAAGCAACGATATGATCTTTTCTCCCAAGAGTTAACTGAAGTCAAGTGATGTCAAGTGAAGTCAGACTGCTGTCTGTGATGTGCTCTGCTTGGTGGTGTGAATCTCATTTGTCACGTTTAATCTCACACTGCGCCGTATCTCATCAGCCCTCACAGTTCCACTCCTTATATAACGTTGAGTAATAAAGGGAGTGAAAATTTGAGGAAAAAAATTATTAATTGGAGGTTTTGCATTGTGTATGTTTGTCATCAGACACTGCAAGGCTATGGGGTTCAGGTAATGCTCTCAGAACTAAATGTTCTGGCTCCTGCTTTCTCTAAAGAAGCTCTTGGTGATGTACTGTAGAGGATGTTTCTGTGCTATAGCATCTACCAGCATCACTGCTTGCTAATTTCCAGCCTTTCTTTGTGATTACTGCAGAACCATAGCGTGGTTTGGATTGGAAGAGGCCTTTATTCCAACCCTGGTCACGGGCAGAGGCATCTCTCACTACATCAGGTTGTCCAAATCCCCCTCATAAGGCACATTGAGTCGCAGGGTGTAGTGGCAGTGGGTTGGATAGCTTGTGTGTATAGAGACAAAAGAGAGAATGTTGATATTTCCTTGAAAACTGAGTGAAATATTAAAAACTGTGTGCCTGTGCAACAGCATGCTGAATTAAGAAATGCTGAGGAAGTCATCTTAGAGCAAAAATAAAATAAAATAAAAAGGTCAGGGAGATGCAAACTAGCTATGGCTTCTGCTTGCAGGATATGGCAGTGTATGCAAATAATACAAAGTAATTTGGTGTTGATGCCAACAAAGTACTCCTGAGATCTCAGAAGCATCCTGAATAATCAGAATAACCAGTCTAGCCAGTAGCACTGCGTGCTGCTCTGAACACATGAGAAACTCAGGTGCCAACTATGCTCCTGTTGATTGAGCTCCGTGTCTAAAGGAGTTTTAATCATTAATTCTGCTAACTCACGTCCCTGATGTGGAGTGAATCAGGTTCTTGTGGTCCACTCAAGCTTATGGCCCATGCTTGAGTGGCAAACAAACGAGTAATTGCAGTTGTGCTCATTCCTCTCACATTTGCAGGTTGCCTTTGTTTTGCTCTTAGTTTTGTCATTGTACCCAGTGTTGAAATCAGCTCCTCATCATACGAACGTACTTATTCCATTCTAGATTACTTTCTTTGCAAGGTGCAAACTGCTCTCTCTCGTGGTTCACTAGCTCATGTGCACTGGATAGCAAATAACAGCACTCACACTGCTGCTCTTAAACTATCCCTTCCCATATTTGTTCATCTTCTTTCTTCACACTGGCAATTTGGCAGCCGTTCCAGTACGCAGTGCTGCCTAATCCTACTTATTGTGTAAGGTACATCTGCCTGCTATTTTCTTGTCAGGTTTATTCTCTCTCCTCTACAGCTTTTGCAAAATGCTATTCTTTCCTGTATGCATTTCAGACAGTTTAATCCAGAGCCAGGACTCTAGTTGTGGTTATTGTTACCTTTGAAGCATACTCAGTCCTTCACAGCAATGCATGCAAACCATACAGTCAGACCCCATTTGACTGATGTTCCCAAGCTTTAACTTTTACACAGATTCTGAGTTTTCTGGGCAGTACATTGTGGGGTTACTTTCTCCCAGAAGCTGCATCCTGCTTTAACTACCATCTATGGACTGTCCGGTTTCTACAGCTTCTTGAGCAGTGTTGGATCTGGTCTCAGAGCAGCGCTCTGCAAGCACTCAAATGCTATTTACTGGAGTCAGCTGTCCCAAATCTACACGAACTGGCTCAGAAATCGCTCCCTCTTTTGACTTCTCCTGTGATTGCCTCTTTCAAGCGTGCTGTTCTTGCTAGGAGTGCCATCTGCTGTTTGCTGGGTTGTGCTGTGCCTTCTCTTCATTGCTTGTCCGGGTTTCAGTGTGACAGAACCTGCATCGTTTATTTTGGCGGATTCAACATTTACATGGAAAACTAAACGCAGCTATGAAAAGAGAGGAGAGCAAATGGATTTTCTGCCATCTCCTGAAGCGCAGCTCTGTTCTCAGCCATCCCTTTGCAATTCCCCGTGTTGTTACCCAGCTACAGGGGAAGGAATGAACTCTCATTCCTCTGAGTTCAGCCTGAAGTCAAAGGAAACATTTTTCAACGTCTTAAACGTAAGGTTGTTCTCAGCAAAAAACATCCTGTTCTCTAGAAATGGCAGCCGGGCTCCGAACAGACAGGAACGTGTGCGACTTTGGTCGCACTGAAATCTTCATATCTTCCCTATCCGCCGTGCTGGGCTGCGGCTGATGTGTGCGGTGTCCACGCGATGGCACTGTGTCACAATCATCTTTTAGTGCCGTTAACCTCGTGTTTGCCAGCGTGCTGCTTGGAGCCGAGCGTGGAGCTTCACGAGTTTGGCACTTGGGCCGGAGGAATCGCAGGCATCCCTACAGACTGGAAGGAGCGGGCCTTGAGAGCAGCCCTGTGGAGAAGGACCTGGGGGTCTTGGTAGATGAAAAGCTTAACATGAGCCAGCAGTGTGCCCTTGTGGCTCGGAAGGCAAATGGGATCCTGGGCTCCATCAGAAGAGGGGTGGCCAGCAGGGACAGGGAGGTGATTGTTCCCCTCTACTCTGCTCTTGTGAGGCCCCATCTGGAGCACTGCGTCCAAGTGTGGAGCCCCCAGTACAAGACAGACAGGGAACTGATGGAGAGGGTCCAGAGGAGGCCACAAAGATGATCAGGGGACTGGAGCACCTCCCTTATGAGGACAGGCTGAGGGAGCTGGGCTTGTTCAGCCTGGAGAAAAGAAGGCTGCGGGGTGAATCATTGCAGCATTTCAGTACCTAAAGGGGGCCTACAAACAGGAGGGGAATCAACTCTTGGAAAGGGTGAGTGACAGCAGGACAAGGGGAAATGGTTTTAAGTTGAGGGAAGGGAGATTTAGGTTGGATGTCAGGGGGAAATTCTTTACAGAGAGAGTGGTGAGGTGCTGGAACAGCTGCCCAGGGAGGCTGTGGATGCCCCGTCCCTGGAGGTGTTCAAGGCCAGGTTGGATGGGGCCCTGGGCAGCCTGGTCTAGCATTAGGTGGGATGGTTGGTGGCCCTGCGTGTGGCAGGGGGGTTGGAGATTCATGATCCTTGAGGTCCCTTCCAACCCTGGCAATTCTCTGAAAATTCTGTGAGAAGCACAGCCCTGCCTTGCTGCTTTCCCATTGCTGCTCCATTCCCTGCTTCAACCACAGAGCTGGAGCGCAAAGCGCCTTCACAAAGCTGTCTGGCTTTAGGTAAGCACTATGGGTTATGATAACACTATTATTATCATTATTGATGATAAGAGTGCTTATCACCGACAGCTAAAATGGTTTTGCACTCTGAATATACACCTCTCTTCACCTTCAAGACCATGAACTGTGCTTTCCCTTTGCCTGTTAAGTTAAATAACAGCAGCTGCCTAAAACTGTCTCTCCGTTTAAGAATTCCTCAAATCTTTCCAGGATACCAAAGCATTATTACACACCTCCTGGATCTTCTTAGGAATCACTGAATGTGTGGATGAAGGACCTGAGCGAAAGGTCCCTTCTGTGCTGTGTTCAGTGCTTTTGGAGGTGGATGAATGAGGGATGCAGTCGTCGCAGGTCGTGGCTGTGATAAAGGAGAGAGGCAGTTGCAGAGGGCAGCCCTGATCTCTACCTCCTGCCATGGTATGTTGTGATACCACCTTCCCTTCAGGCACCTGGAACTGAAAAAATACCCACATCCCATGGCCGAGGGCAGCAGGTGATGCACAAGGAGGGTGGCCAAAGAACCCTCATCCAAGAGGGTTTCCATCTTGAGAGTGGGGAATGCAAACACACTGAGTCCTGCCTGGTAGAGACCAAAGCAAAGACCAAAGACCGTGGCTGCTGCACTCAGCACTGCAAGCATAACTTCATGTGCTGCCCAGGCTGTAAAACTGCACGTAGTGAAGACAAGAATGATATCCAGAGATGGTAACAACTCTCGTTTCTACCCACTGCATCTCTTCTTCTGCTCCAGATGTCATTTAAGCCCTATGTAAGCAACACTGGAAGATTGCTCTCAGCTGAATGTGCCACATGGGCTCACAGGATTCCAGGATATACAGCTCTTGTAAATGCATTTGTGTTCTTTTTTTCCTTAATAAGTAGCTACGTGTTTGACCTTGACTGTATTGTTTAATTTAGTGATTGCTCTGAATTTCTTTTTATCCAATATGTGTAGTTTATGAAAACTAATCTTTTCTTTCTCTGTTTTTCAACAGGAAATTCATTTGTCTCTATTCAGGATTATCCCTTAGTTGAATAAAAGGTAACTTACATTATTGAAAATACATTCATTTTAGCTTGATGATAACTTATGTTCTTTACATACTAATACACTAATGTTAATGGTAATACCATCACTATTTTTTTTATATCAGTATTGACTGTCAACTCGCACAAACTAAGCACAAAGTCTCTAAAATAGGCATCAGAGTGAATTACATTCAAAGGAGCTTCTAAAAGTAGATTTAGAGTCCCTGATTCCTAAAGCTACGTGCATGCATGTTCTTAGCAGTGCATTGAATTTAACGTTCAGTTAGGATATGTGAGGTTACATTATTAAACAAATGCATAAATCTTTGCAATTGCAGGGCTATGAGTTTTACCAGAGTTTTATGGCCATCCTGTTTGACCATGTTTGTACCCCAAGGCACTGCCTGTCACTTTTGATGGTGGAGCCCAGGAGATTGTGACTGACTGAACTGGATCACGCTTCTGTTTAGGTACTAACAGTCAGTGTTTATCTATTTAGAACGTTACAAAAATATTTTCCAGTTCTGCATGTTATACCCTGCTGTGGCACTTTACTGCTTCTTAGGGGAAAAAATATTTTGACTGATTGTTTTGCAGAAGTCTGTAGTCCCTGGTGATAATTTATCACATAGGGAATATGTTTTCATGTCAGCACGGTGAATACCCAAGATAAAGTTCTAAGTAGGGAACAAAAATGAATATGGCTAATCATTCTGTCTCATATTTCTGGTTTAGGTTTTCTCCTGTGTGGGATGTGCCATCAGCCTGGTGTTCAGGTAAAGAGATTTCTTAGGCTCTGAAATAAGCTATTGAGTCAGAGAATCAAAGGGATGGTAATAGGGAATGAAAAAGAAATCAAGAATATAAAGGAAAATTATCACAGAGAAACCAGGTTGATATTTAGCATCCCTGCCTGATGAAGAGAATCCAGGGTAAGTTTTCAAATGGAAATAAATCTGGCCAAAATGAATACCAAAACTTCACAATCAGGGAGCTGTAAGCCAAAGATCTCAATGCAACTCAGGATCTGAGGTACAAGGGGATCAAGAGGGGTGTTCAACCTCTATTTAAAATACTTAAAACTTCCTTTACACCCACCAACTGTAAGACAGCTGTTGTGATGTAGTTTCCAAAGAGACCTGATGGGTAACTGCGTATTCATAAACCTGAAGTCTGTACTTGGCTGCTTTGCAGAAAATATCATAAACAGTACAATTACTGTACGTATGGTAAATATTGTCTTCTGGGAATCAGTGAAAATGGCTTTTGTAAAGGTAAGTTTGCCTCACAAAACCATTGAATGAAGTTGTGGAGTGTATGGATTGGTTGATGTCCAATGGATACAATTACTTGGATTTCTCAAGAGACTTTGGGTAAGGTTCTTGGCCAGAGATTCTTAAAGAGGGTAAATAAGGAAAGCTCAGACTACCAGTGATCTGGAAAGTGTGAGGACTGAGGTGAGACAAAGCTTTTCAAGTATTAAAAGAAAGGACTGACTGTGCAGAGTTGCAAAGAATGTTAGGTAAAGCGTGGGAGAAGGAGTTCAGTACAGGGAGGTGCAAAAAGTGAACACATAGGAAAAAAAAAAATGCTGATGTTACCACTCATGCCTTTGCAATTATATTAATTGGGACTGTTTAGTGGAAATGTCAGATTGGTGGTTTGTAGAAAAAAAAAAACAACTCTTGGGAATTGCTAGGAAAGAAATTGAGAACAGCAAAGACTGTTATGCTGTACCCACATCTTCATCTTATGCTGTATGTTCATCTGTGCTGTACCCACATCTTCAACACTGTTTGTCCTTCAGGTCCCTGTGTCTCAGAAAGGACATATCAGAGTTGGGACAGTGTCAGAAAAGGGCCACAGGGTTGAGCTGAATGTATGGGTTAATGTTGGAGTCAGATCACTGGATTTCTTGGACTTTGCTTGCTATGTCCATTCTTGTGTTCAGAGAAAATTATCCATCACTTACAATCATGCCTCATTCTTGTACATACTGCCAAAAGGCAATGATACAACAACTGTTTTTAAAGGTGAAACACAGGAGGAGTAAAATTTCCTTTAAAAAATTCTCTGACAACACCATGAAAGCTGACAGCTGCAGCCACTGCCATCAAACCAGGCACTGATGCATTGGTTTCACAGCTACGAGGTCACACATCCCACCAGTCTTATGGTGCTGTTGCTCTCTTTCTTTCTAGTGTTTTAATAACAATAACAACAGTTAAAATAAGCTTTGTTAATTATATACATTAACTGTATTATCTATTTTCAGAGGGCTGCTCTGAAGGTTATGCCTCCTGTTTTATGGTCCATGATGTCAGAGTTGGATGTTGGTGGTACAGCAGTTGGGGTTGAACCTTCCCACCAATATCCTGTTCTGTTTTGTTGCTGTGTGACAGATGGCAGCAGAAGGGCACCCTGACAGTCTGGTGTGTCTGACATGGAAGTGCATATGGAATAAAGGTGTGTCACTGAATTCCTTCATACAGAAGAAGTTGCACCCACTGACATTCATTGCTGCCTGAGGATGTTTATGGAGACCAAACAGAGGATGTGAGCACAGTGAGGGGTGGGTGATGAGTTTCAACAGTGGTGACAACAACAGTGGGTCACCTCTGTAATGAAAAATAGTGTTCTGTAGATGAGAATTTGGTTTATCAGACTTACTGAGCTCAATGTTGCTGTTGTATTTTCCACTGAAATAAATAGGAGGCATTACTTTTAGAGCAGCCTGCCTATGTGCAGCCCAGGCAGGCCAACAGGTTGGACATCCATACATTAAACCTTTGCTCAGTCACAAAAATGGACGTTAAGAAGAACAGCTGGCTGAAGAGAGTCATAGCTTACTATGAAGTATGTGACTCTTCTTGGTCCCTTATTGAAAAAATACACCTACAAAGAAACAGCATCACTGAAAGTAACTCTGAACCACAGAAGGTGGATGTTTACAAAAAAAAAAAAAAAAATCACAGAAAACCAGAAAGCACCGTGCACAGTGTTAGGAGCTCGAGAGAAGCTGTTTGACACAGTGGTATTTCATGTAGGATGGATGCTCTTGCTCTACAGATTCCTCACCGCATGAGTCTCAGTTCTTTGTCAAAGGTTGTGAAGCTGTGCAAGTTATTGCTGTTGGAGGCATTTCAGCTCCGTTGTTGGGAGGAAGCCAGCCTGGGGGTTATGTTTGTGAAGTTCAGTGTCTCTGTTGTTAGCCCAGGGGATGTGCTTTAGAACTGTTCATGGCCCACATTTGGGATATCTGTCAAGAAAGCATGGGCTGCCATAAGTAAGTGATGTTCTGGTACTTGTGGGTGGGTCTGACCAAAAGATCTCAAGGAAATCTGTCCTAGGTTGTTCTCTTCAGGTTTCAGTTTCATGAAGATTTCAGTTACATGAAGTAAATCTAAAGAAATGTATGGAAAGTCTGTTGTTTGTATACTGTCACAGTTCAACTTCCACAAATCCTCTATCACCACTGTGGGCTAAAACATTCACTTTCTTTTTGCAGATCCCCTTAGCCAGCCCTACTCTTCCTCTTTCGAGGGAAGCACCACCAGTCATGGCAGTCATTCGCCGTGTGCGTGACCAGGAGCACTGCAGTACGTGGAACATTCTGTGAGCTTCAGCACCGACACATCGAGAACTGGTTCCCAATACAGCATTTGAAGACTGGATGTTTGTTGAAGAGAAAGCCAGAATGATCTGGAGGAATAAACGAGAACAGAGCTCTGCACTGTTTGGAAGCAGGTCCTGATCTACAAATCCAGCAGAAATCAGGTTTATATCAGGAATCCAGGCAGTACTGCATTATCTCTTGGGTACTCTACCAGTAGAGATCTTTATAAATACCAGAAGTGTGACATTCAGATAATAGAGTGGAAGTGAAAATACTCTTGAGGATAGCTTTGTCCCAAACGTTGGGGCATAGGTTACGTGCCCAGATGTTTCTACTTCAGCCTCTCACTTTCCAGTAATGATTTATGCAGCTGCTGTTTTCAACAAGTTGGTTTTTCTTCAGTGTTGGGCTCTAGTATGAGAAGTTGTAATTCAGCAAAAAGGTGAGCATCTTTCTTCATCATCCTGGAAGTCATTGAAGACTGAAATCAGTACAGAGGATGACTCAGTATAACCTTTCGACAGAGCTCTCTCTCCAGAGCTCAGCAAATAAGTCATTAAATTTTACTGAACCACCGCTGGCTTTGGATGAAAGGACATTATTAGGGCTGAAGATATCCCTGTCAGTCCTTCTGTCTGTCATAACTTTGGCAACGATCCTTGCAAACATTTTTGTTGTTATTACAATTTTTTTTACTAGAAAGCTCCACACACCTGCAAATTACCTCATTGGCTCCTTGGCAGTAACAGATCTTTTAGTGTCTGTCCTCGTGATGCCCATCAGTATCGCTTACACTGTCACCCACACGTGGGCCTTTGGCCAAGTGCTGTGTGATATCTGGTTATCATCAGACGTCACGTGCTGCACAGCCTCAATCCTACACCTCTGTGTTATTGCGCTGGACAGATACTGGGCTATCACAGATGCTTTGGAATATGCCAAACGCCGGACTGCTGGCCGAGCAATGCTCATGATCGCTGTGGTTTGGATGATCTCCATTAGTATTTCTGTGCCACCATTTTTCTGGAGGCAAGTGAAAGCTCATGAAGAAATCGCAAAGTGTAATGTGAACACAGATCAGATTTCCTACACCATTTATTCCACTTGTGGAGCTTTCTACATTCCAACTGTGCTCCTCCTAATATTATATGGTAGAATTTATGTAGCAGCTCGATCCAGGATCCTGAAGCCACCTTCACTGTATGGGAAACGATTCACTACTGCACACCTCATAACTGGCTCTGCTGGCTCTTCCCTCTGCTCCATTAACGCAAGCCTTCACGAAGGGCATTCCCATTCTGGTGGATCCCCAATATTTATCAATCATGTTCAAATAAAGCTTGCAGATAGTATTCTGGAAAGGAAAAGAATTTCTGCTGCAAGAGAAAGGAAAGCCATCAAAACTTTAGGAATTATTCTAGGAGCTTTCATTATCTGCTGGCTGCCGTTCTTCGTCATGTCCCTCGTTCTCCCTATCTGCCAGGATGCATGTTGGTTCCATCCCATCCTGCTGGACTTTTTTACGTGGTTAGGTTACTTAAACTCATTAATCAATCCTGTCATTTATACAGCTTTTAATGAAGAATTTAAACAGGCTTTCCAAAAACTAATACATTTCAAAAAGTGCTCGTCTTGATCCTCTTCTGTTGCATTACTGAGCTTTGCACAATCTCGCAGCCTCCCCTGAGATTTTCTGTGCTTTGATTCCTGGGTGCAGAGTGGTGAATCTCCATCCCTGTGCTGTGCATGGAACAGGGAACATCTCGCAGATTTGGTTCTCTCTGTCTGGAACTCTGTATACCATAAGATAACTTGTCTGTGGTCTCTGCAGTGATCATTTGTATGCGTAATATCAACAGATGAAGTAAAGTTTGCAACAGGTGAAAGAGTGAACAGAAAGCCGAATTTGTGCAGAGCTGCCCTGAAAGTAATGCCTCCTGGTTTGTAGTGTTGGCCCACAACACCAGAGGTGGGTGTTGGTGGGATGGCAGTAGAAGTTGAACCTTCCCACCGATATCCCATTGCGTATTGTTGCTGTATGACATATGGCAGCAGTCTGACAAACGGTGTCTGAAACAAAAGTGCGTATATAGCAAAAGTGTGTCATTGAATTCTTCCGTGCAGAAAAAAATGGCACCCATTGACATTCATCAACACTTTGGAGACCCAGCAGTGGATGTGAGCACAGTGAGGCGGTGAGTGGTGCATTTCAGCAGTGGTGACAGTGATGCAACAGTTGAGTTGCATTCTGGACAGCCATGCAGATTTTTAGAGCGCGGCGTGCAGCTCTTCTTCATTGCTGGTGAAAATCCACAGCTAATGGTGGTGGATACATTGACAAATAGTGTTCTGTAGCTGAGAATTTGCTCTATCAAACAGTGGTATTGTACTCTTTGCATCTGTTGTAGTTTCTGCAGAAGGAAATAGGGGGCAACATTTAGAATAAGATGGCACATGCTACCAAGCCTGTCACGTCTTTGTAATCTAATGGGAGGAAAACTTATGCATATTTGGAGGACTTCAGTATTTCTGCTGTATATTGCCAGCATTTCATGTAGGCTGAAGAAGTTTCTAGAGAATGGGATCTAACACCTGTATTTCCTGTGGCACATACCTGTCCATCTGAAATTGATAAAACTAGCAGCTTTGGAAGAAAACAGGTGGCAGCCTGAGTGCAGGCAGCAGGGCATGAAGACGTAGCAAGCATGTGAGTTCTGTGAGCACTTCACAGATATGAATTTGAAGCTACACTTTTGGTAAACTGCAGAAAGAAGACATACTGTTGGAAATCATTTTTACACATTTGATCATGTGTGCAATAGCCAGTGCAGAAATACTACAAAATAAATAGCATGAACATTACTGAAAAGTACCTTGCTCTTGTATTTGTGTTGTTTTGGGTTGGTTTTGTGTTGTTTGGTTGGTTTTTTTGCATGCCCAAAATGAAACAAAATATGTTCAGTGTCAGTGTGGAATGATTGGGACCTCAGAAGGGAGCCAGAAGGACCCATCCTTGGTTCTGGTAATGTTTATTCCATAGCCATAGAAAATGAAGGTAGATTCAGCAAAGACAGCTGAACATTGCTGTGTCTAATTCCTGGGCACTCAGGCTCCCTTAGGAAGCAACTACGTGCTTAAGATTGAGCCAGGAAAAAGCTATTTTTTTCAGCCTTTGTGAGAATTGAGAGTCTTCAAGTGATGCATGGATACTGTGAGCCTTTGGGGATGAAAGATGTGAGTGAGTGAAAACTGAAGACTTGAGATAGGGAAAAGACAACTGGCCAGAAGTAGTAAATAATCTGTTCTCCATACTCATAGAGGTTAGACAAGAAATCAGGGAATTTGGAAAGAATTAAGTGAAATATCAAGAAAAACTTTGATATTAAGGTTGTTGGGGTGGATGTGAAGTATAAGGAAGAAATTGCTCACAGTGATGAGGAGGGGATGTCATAGTCTGTCTGCTAGGTAGGACTGTAACAAATATTACCCTGCTTTACCTTTATAGCTGGTTCTAAGTGGTCGGTGGATTGAGATTCCTTCATTATTGCTAACAGTCCTGGAGATGAGAGCTTAAATTGATTAAAGACCAGTGAGCAAATGGAAAACAGGATATTTGGAAACCCATGTCCTAAGGAATCCTGCAAGAAGCTTCCTGTTCATCTAATCTCTCTGTACTGAGAGGCATCTTCTCTGCTTCCATAGCAATGTTCTGAGCCTGCCCTTTGTCGAGGTGTCCTTTCCAAAGAGTCCTTTGTTTCTTTTCAGCATTCAGAAGGACACCTGGAAACCTCCTGTCTGCCTTCCTTCTTATAACTGCTGGATAATGATGAGCTGCTTAACTTTCCCCAGCCCTGTGATAGTTCCTAGCTGGAACATTTTGTCTTTGTACATATGCAAATCAAGTGGGGAAGGAGGAAAGGAGAAACAGACCTGGACAATTCAGTCCAGTACTCAGAGCACAGCTGGAGAGCAAAAGACTCGGGGTCAAATCTGTTATCTAATAAGTAGCAGATGGTTTTATGCCCAATATAAAAACTGTTGAATTACTTCAACAGCTGAAATGGTAAACTTTGTCCTTCAGTATCTGGGGAGTGACATTGTTTGAAAGCAAGCTTCCCAGAAGAGTGTTTTGGTTGTTGATGTGGTGGGTTGGCATTTCCTGCATGGAGCTGGGTTGGCAGCAGTAGCCAAAGCCAATTCCCAGGTGTCTCCACAGCATTTCTCCTGCTGGTTCATCTGCCCAATGCGAGGACTTCCATGAATCATAAAACCATTGATAACGGTCCTGAAGGGTCCTCTGAGCTGGTCTGCTCCCATGGCCTCATCTGGATCAATTATGCTTTTGTACTTCTTCTGTCAAGTCTACTCTTATGCTAAGACTTCTGATGTTGAATAGAATGGCAAAATGTCATAGCGCAGAAAGATGATCCATTACTGTTCTTCAGGCTTTCGTAAGACACTGTTAAATTGGACAGCAAATGAACTGAGCCCTTTCTTTGATTCGATTACAGAACCTAGAATCATTTATGTTGGACAAAACCTCAAAGATCATTGAGTCCAATCATTAACCTGGCACTGCCAAGTCTACCGCTAAGCCATGTCCCTAGGCACCACATCTGCACATCTTTTAAATACCTCCAGGGACGGTGGCTCAACTACTCCCCTGAGCAGTCTCTTCCAATTCTTCATGACCTTTTTCATGAAGAAATTCCTCCTGACAGCTAACATAAACCTCCCCTGGCACAACTTAAGGCCATCGCTTTTCATCACCGTCACCAGGAGCACACAGCCCCCCTCAGCACAACCTCCTTTCAGGGATTCGTAGGGAGCGATCAGGTCTCCCCTAAGTCCTTTTCTGTTGGGTAATTTCCAGCCACTCTTCCACCATCCTGCAGCACAGCGTGGACTTGGCGTGACCCAAGTGCAGGACCTGACACTTAGCCTTGGTGATCCTCATACACCTTCAGCCCATTGCTCCAGCCTATCATAGGCTAATTATAAGCTAATACAAAAAGCCTGCAATAGGCTATTTTTTTGCCTATTCTATAGACTAATTAAAAAAGGCACACAGTGCAATATCGCACCATTCTTAATGCTGGTAAATATTTGATATAGTGCTTCAGGAATTCATATTTGAAAACAAACAGTAACATGGAACTGGCAGAGGACAACGCTGACATACATCGTAAACGTAAGATAAAGAACACCCCACAGCTGAAAGGAGGAGGCTGTCATGTCAGAGATCAATGTCCATATTTACTGTGTCATTCAGGGTCTGTGGATTGCAGTCGAGCACATGAACTCATCTCACAGAAGACACAAGAGCTGAGTGGTTTCTAGGAGCCTCTCAGATGCAACTCTCGTTAATACTGAGCACATGGGTAAAGTAAAACACATTTTAACTTGTAATAGAAGAATGTACTGCGGTTGTCCCAGCAGATAGTTATTTCTATGACTAAGAAGGATTTATTCAAAACAGAAGAATTTGTTAAATGAAAGTCAAAGCATGCATGTTCCCTGCAGCACCCTGCAATTAGATCTCAGTGCAGGATATTCCGTCAGCTGGAGACATTTGTCCTTTATCAATTACCAGGAACTCTCCCCAGTCACCACCTCCTTTCAGAAAGCATTCCTGCAATGGCATTAGCTTTTAGAAGCCAGTGCAATAAATACTGGGGTCTTATTATGACTATAGCCCAAATCCCTGCAATCAGGTAATAACATAAGAATCTCAGCTGCCATTATAAGAAATTCTTCTTCTTTGCACAGAAAAACAAAATTGCACCCTGAGAGAGGTACTCAGTGGCTCAGTGTGCGATGGAGATCAGTGAGCAGTGGTGTCCCTCAGGGCTCCATCTCAGCACTGCTGCTCCTCAGCATTTCTACCAATGACACCAATGATGGATTGAGTGCACCCTCAGCACTTTGCTGATGGCACTGAGCTGAGTGGTGCAGTTGATAGAAGGAAGGGAAGCCAGCCAGAGGGACGCGGGCAGGCTGAGCAATGGGCCCAGGTGAACATCATGAGGCTCAACAAAGCCAAGCAATGTTGATTTGATGGATGCCGCTGGCTCATAAACCCATGGGCTGATTCAACTGACTAAACTGGCAGAACAGTATTCACTCTGCTTTAATTTTCCTCTGGTTTAATGAACAGATTGAATGCCAGAAGTGGTGCAACAGAAGCAGCACAGACTCACAAATAGCTGCAGGAGGACAGGAGCAGAACTGCATGTACCATCAGCAAGCTGTTAGATTGACTCAGGCACCTCATTTAAACTGACTGTAGATACAGAGCAAGAGCAGAAAAGTCACTTTGTGGACTTTGTGGACTGGAAGACGACTCAAAAACATTTTTAATAGCCACTGAGAAATCTGTTTTCTGTAAGCTTCTGTAATCCCTTTCCATGCTTATGCCTCTGGTGTCTGTGGCATCCCGTGGCCAGGCACTTCTCATGTGATCAAGCTGTGCAAAACCAGCACGAGCTACTTCTCTTTGTTCCAGCCTGCTGCACCCACACGGTCTCCTACTGTCAGACATGCTGACAGTTCCTGTTGCTTCCCCATATTATTCATAATTTTATGGGTGTTTATGATCTCCCCTCCCCCTATTTTGTCTGTGATCACATCTGCCCACGTGATTTCTATTCTGCACCCTTGGCACCATAAGAAGACAAGGCTGTCCCTGCAGTCTTTCTGGGTAAGAAAGAGACCTGCAAGCAACCCCAGGCATATCCCCTCCTCCCTGTGCCTCTGCCCCTCTTCCAGCCTGTGTAGTTTGCTCCACCTCTGTCCCCTTTACTCTTCAGAGTTGTACTCCCTTCACATTGTTCCTGTCTCTCCTGCTAATTTTTGGCAGTTGCCCTTGTTGCCAACCCCTCAGTCCGGCCCAGAGCTGAGTCTGCCTTCATCACTTTGTTACATCCTCACTTCCACTCGTCCCTTTCTGTCCCTTTGCTCGATGCTTCCATTGACTGTACTAAGTCCCCATGAATGAGAAACAACACAAAACAGCTCCTAAGGGCAGCTAGCTTTTCCTTATTTCTCTTCATTTTCCTTAGGTCATGCATCGTATTTCCTTTCTTAAGGCACATCTTTCTGCTTCTCTAACATCACGTAACACAACTTTGCCCTCCAAAATACCTTCTCCAGCAGCTGCAGCTCTGTTGCTATAGCCCTGGTACCATCAGCTGCAGCCACAACACTTCCACACCACCCACAGCAGATGTCTGATGTTGGTCATTCCCTGGTTTTCCTCTCTCTTCCTCGCGCTGGAGTCACCACCTGGATGCTGGTTCAGAGAAACACTCAGAAATAAAGTTCTCCTTTATTTCCCCTCAAGTCAGCTTGTTCCCCTGTATTCCCCTTACGTCTGGAATCAGCCTCGTGAGGTTCAATAAATCCACGTGCAAGGTCTGCACGTGGGTCACAGCGACCCTCTCGCTGTCAGTGTGAGCTGGGAGATGTAAGGACGGAGCACAGCCCTGCCCAAAAGGAGGCACTGATGGATGGCAGCTGGACATGAGCCAGCTCTGTGCCCTCACAGCCCAGGCAGCCAACCGTACCCTGGCTGCATCCAAAGCAGGGGATCTGCCCCTCTGCTGTGTGCTGAGAGCTCACCTGCAGCACTGCGCCCAGATGGGGAGTCCTCAGGACAGGAGAGACGTGGAGCTGTTGGGGAGAAGGGCCACAGAAATGCTCCCAGGGATGGAACACCTCCCTGCGAGGCCAGGCTGAGAGCTGGGCTGTGCAGCTGGATGAGGGAAGGCTGCGGGGAGACCTATAGGTCTGTCAGTGTCTGAAGGGGCTGTAAGAAAGGGGATAAGAAAGGGGACAGACTCTTTAGCAGGGCAACAGGACAGGGGAAAATGGTTTCAAACTGAAAGAGGGGAGATCTGCGTTGGGTATAAGGGAGAAGTTCTTTACAATAAGGGTGATGAGGCACTGGAATGGGCTGCTCATAGGGGCGGACACCCAGCGTGAGGCTGGAGGGGCTCTGAGCGCTGATGGAGCTGCGGGTGCCTGCGCTCAATGCTGCGAGTTGGACCTTTGAGGGTCTCTTCCATCTTCAGCCATTCTATGGTACCAGAGGCAACCACGGCTGAATCACCGACCGCTCCGCTCAGCGCCACGTCCCAGACTAGAAGCGGCACGTTGTGGGGCAGCCCTTCAGGACGAACTTTCCTCCACACCCCGGTGCCATCCGACCTACGTTCCCTCCTCGGCGCGTTGCCGACAGCGGGAGCTGCGCACGGCTCGGGAGCGGAGCTCCGCACCTCCGGACGGGCCGAGGGCCGCCGCTCCGCCGCTCCCCCCGCTCCCTCCTCCCGCGGAGCTCCGGCCCCGAGCCGCTCCCCGCCTCCCCCGTTCCCCTCCCGGTGCCCCCATCGCCCGCCGCTCCGTCCCGTTTCGCTCTCCCGGCACGCGGTTCCCTCCGGCCGCCCCGCTCCCTCTTTCCCCCAAAATGGCCGAAACTCCTTCCTCGCTTCTCCCAACGACGGCGGATCCCGCGGAAGCCGCGCCGCCCGGAGCGGATCGCCCGGCGGAGGCGGCGGCGAAACTCCGCGACCGTCCGGCACCGCCGGGCCCCCGACCCCCGCCCCGCCCGGCGGCGCCGCTCCCGCCCCCCGCCCCGCCGGGCCCCGCTCCCCTCGCGGTGACGTAGCGGCGCCGGGGCCGCCTCTCATTGTCAGCGCCCGGACCCGCCGCTCCAGCACGGCCCCGCGGGCTGCGGCCGCCCAACTCCGCGCCGCGGCTGCTCCGGCCCGGCCCGTCCCGGCGGCCGCCAGCGGAAGCCCGGCCCGGCGCAGGTAGGAGGCGGCGGCGGCGGGGAGGAGGGGGGCACGGAGGGCGGACGGGCGCCGCACGGGTGCCGCGGTCCCGGCCCGGCGGAGCCCCGCGCCGCGGGGTGGGGAGGAATTCGAGGCATCCGCTTTGTCCGCGCTGCCAGCACGGCGCCTCGCGGGGCCGGGAACCGCGGCGTGGCGGCGGGGGAACCCCGAGGGGCGAGGCCGGGCGGACGGGCCGAACCGCTCCGCCGTGCCGGGACCCGGCGGGGCGGCTATGAAGCGGCTAGGAAGCGCCTTCGGGCCGCGCTCCGTCGGCTCCGAGGAATCCGCCGACTTCCCCCAACGGCCGCTTCGCGACGGCGGAGACGGAGCGGCCGCCGCGTTCCTCCCGAGGCCGCCCCGCCGCCCTCCGCTCTGCCCTCCGCTGCCGGCCCGGCGCTGCCCCTCCCGGCCGGGACGCGGCGGTGCCGGCGCTGCTCTGAGCGCTCCCCGGTGCTCGCAGCGCTCCTGAGCCGTTCGGAGGTTCCCGCACGCTGTGAGGCACGCGGGGTTCCTGCGAAGCGAGCCGCCAGCTTCCATTTATTTATTTATTTGCCTCTCTTTATTTCCGGCAGCTCCGTATACTTCCTTTCCCGTCAATTGTTGGTGTTTCTGTATTTTTTTATTTTATTTTATTTTATTTTACCCCCGCTTTCCCAACCCGCCCGCCTTTATTGTGTCGTTTAATAACGTTCTCCTTGATTTTATTTTTTATTTTTGCTCCGTGGGAGCTTTCCCGCTGCCCTCTGCCTTTGTTAAGCAGCTCTGCCCCTTCCTCGACTTGCTTTAGCACTGTAGGATCTGCTCTCTTTATCGTCATTAAAGCCCCGCACGTGGCCGTGCCGCAGTGCTGCTCTGCCGGGCGGTGTCCGCACTCTCATTGCTTTTCGTTTCCTAACGCTCCGCGTGAAGCCTTGAAACTGCTCTGCCCCGCATTCAGGTGACCGTCCGGACTTCTCGGCATGTCCTGACGAGGCGCAGTTGGCTCAGATGAAATGTTTTCACAGCCCCGGAGTTGTCTCAGGGATTGGAGACTTGGAAGGAGCGCAGTTCCTCGCTCTGCCTGCAGTCTGTTGGCAGACGCACGTTTCTACCCATGGGATGTTGAACAGGGATGGTATTCCTCTGCACTTCTGTGTGTGTGTGAGCCCAAAGCCAGCGTTCCGTGTGTTGGGTGGTTGATGAAAGCCATGGGTCGGTTTGCAGAAGCACAGATCCCCTCTTGTGTCAGAGCTGCTGTGTGAGGATGGCTCCGGTGCTGGGTGAATTCATACAGCAGAACCCAACGCTGAGCTGGGAGAGCTAAATGAGGGCGAGGGGATGTGGAAGGAGGTCCTCTGTAACCATGCTCGGCTCTGAGTGGCTGTTCAGCCTCAGCTTTTCCATCACCCTGTAAGCATTAAGGCTTCCTCACTTCATTTTGGGCTGGTTTGTGCTTTCCAGGGAGCCAATGCAGGTCGCAGCACTGCAGGCTGTCTGTCATTTCTGTGCTTTAAGGAGAGGCGACCAGATTTATTCCTTTAACACGAGTTGGTGCACGTCAGCAAAAACGGCTCTTGTTCTAAAATGGGTGCCCTCAAATCTGTTTGCGACCGGAGATGGGAATATTAAAATAATAGTAAGAAATCCAGCAGTCTTGCAGCCGAGGCTGAGTTGGTTTGTTCTTCCACGTGGGTGATGGTGAGATGTTACCCCAGTGCTGTGCGCTGTGGTTGTGCCCACCTCTGGCCCATTGGGGGTGGTGGGCAGTGAGGAAACCGATGTGATGTGGTGTAGCTGAGCCACATCACAGCATGGGACGGTTTGGCTGTCAGTGTTAAGCTAAAATGAAGCAAATCATCTTGTCTAGGAGGCTGCTTGCTTTGGGAGATTGATGTGATGATGATGAGTTGTAGCAGCGCCGTGTTTTGTGCTCACAAGTGCAGAGCAAGTCGTAGAGCCACAGGGGATCCTCACTTGGAAGGGACCCATGGGGATCACTGAGCCCCCATCCAAACCCTATGGCTGAGGGTTGGTGGGATTTCTGTTGTCTCAACAGCCTGACCATCTGAGCGTGTTCCGAGATGCTGAGCGCAATGTATGGCATTGCATTTTAGCCACTAAAATGCAGCTGTTTGGGCCTGGCTCTCCCTGTGCCTCTGCCTCTGTGGGTTTTGGTGGTGATGCTGCCCTGCAGGGCCTTAATCTCAGCAGATAAGGGGTTGTAAGTGCAGTTCAGCCCTCTGTTCTTTAACCCTCAGCAGGGTGGAGTGCGATACACAGGTGCAACAAACAGCCCTGCCTGGACACTGTGCACAGCAGCACGCACACTGTGCACGAGCAGCTCCTATTTCCTCCTTGGTAAAACAGGGCTGGAGCTAGGTAGGTGCTTGCTCACAGGGGTTTTGCAGCAAGTTTAACATTCCCATTCCCAAATGTTTGGGATTCTTATAGAAACACAATCCAGAAGGGCGCATGCACCGTTGGAATCAAGGGTTGAAAAGGTGGAGGGCGTTTAGAAAATGTGAATGGGTTTCAGTGTGGTCCGTAGCAGTTTGCTAGGAGTGTCCTCTGTGAGCAGCACTGAGAACTGGATGAGCTGTGCTGGCGTTGGGATCCACACCACGAGCACTGGGAAGGAAATGCAACGTTCTCCTGTTAAGGAGCAGGAATGCCAAACTGCACAGCTATTAAACATGAGATGATGACAGCTGCTGTGTTTGTTTTTGTGTGACAGAGGGGAGTTGGGAGCTGTTTCTGCTGTGCTGTCAGCTTGGAGGAGACCCTGGTGTCATTCTGTTCTCTCCAGTTGTGGTTTTGGGAAGTGCTGGCTCGGTGCTGTGGCTGGAGAAGGTGGCTCTGCCTTTCCTTTCTCCCCTGGCAGCCCTCTGCAGCTCTGCCCCAGTGACACAGGGTGCAGCCCTGCATTGGGAGTGCAGAAATAAACCTGTCACCCCCCATCTTTGTAACTCTGTCTGGTCCAGTCCTGCCTGCATGGATGCTCTGGGCAGAGAAGGGCAGCATGGAACAAGAATGGTGCAAACTGGCTGAAACTTCAGCGTGAGGATCTGATCTGGACTCTGTGAGATCAGTTGTGCAAAGAGAGTGTTCCCTGATGGCAATATAGTATTGCCAACTGTGTGCCTGTGTTTGCATCTGTGCCACCACCCCGTGTTCCCTTTGGCTGTGCTGTGCTGGTGGAGCTGCTGCTTGCACGCTGTGCTGCCCACACTTGGCTGAAATAGGCCTGATGCTTAGGGCATGTGAGTACAGAACTGTGTTCACTTTGGTCCCAACAATCCTGCCCTGGTGTGCCTCAGCTTCCTTAGGTTCTGCAAACCTCAAATATCTTCTCAATGCCATAGAAATCAGGGTCTGATCTGCTGTACTGAACTTGGGTCAGCAAAACCCACTGGTACTCCAGGTGAGGGGGCAGCTGCTCTCGTATGTGATGAGCTGCAGGCTGCCCTTCTTCTGCTTTGCTCCCTCCCATCACAGAGGGAACAGTGCAGGCTCTGACCATCTTGCTGTACATTTTGCTGATGTCAGCACCGTTCTGAATGCTTGCAGCTAATTGATTTTTAAGTGGTAGAGGAACTCATAGTTTGACCTCCCATACCGCCCAGGCTATAGTATCCAAACCTTACCTAGTTTCAGATTAAATCACTAACTTAGATGCTTTTGAGGTTTGCAGTTTTAATTTGTGACCTTTTTTGGTTCTGTGAGGGGCAGATGGTGAATGTGGTGGGGAATGAAAACCCACATTTCTCGACTGGATTTGTGGTCGCCAGTTCAGAAGTAGGGCAGCTCTCATTCAGCCACCTGCAGACACCTTAAGGGCTGAGACCAGATGCATCCTCCAATGCACACTGCCAAAAGCAGAGTGGAGGGAGGAGGATGTGAGCACTGAGGCTTTCTTAGCTCTGGTAAGAGCGAGCTTTGCTGGTTAATATTACAGACCCTGAAGCCTGAGGCTCGTGTGTCAGCCTGCATGATAGGAGAGGAAGGAGTCTGCTGCTGGAGGAGGCGATGCAAGAGGGCTGACCTGTGTCACAGCAGCACTTCCAGCTCT